ATGGTTCATGGGGTCACGAAGAGTCGGACACGACTTAACGACTAAACAACAACAAAATTCCTCTATTTCCAATCCCAAATCCATTTTGAAGAAAACCGACCATCATCTTTACTGACATGCCTAATTGAAACACAGTATGAGAGCTTTTGAAATGTTCCCCTCTTTGTAGAGGTGCTAGAAATTTCAGCACGTGCAGCGAGGAAGACTTTGAAAAGCTCACCTTGAACAAGGGCGGAAGTTGCCTTCTCAACATCCCCAGGTCTGATGAAACCTACAGCGTCCCATACTGTGGCAACAAGCTTGTGGATGCAGGAGAAGAGTGTGATTGTGGGTCAGTGGAGGTAAGTAACATGCGCATCATAGAGACATGTTGGTTGCCAGGGTCAGTTTTAGCTTCCAACCAGTTTGAACGTTGAGTGAAACATCAAGAGGAAGGCAAGCAGTGTTCAAGAAGTACAATTGTCCTAGGACCTTGATGTGAGGGGAAATTGCACACAGACAATGATGTGTTCTTAAGAACTCGGCTTGCACTGAAGAAATGTCTAATTTCTGAGTTCTGAGGAATACAGTGACCGTGCTCCAAAAAAGTAGTGAGTGAGGCCAGGACAAAAGTGAAATCTATGTCATTTATGTCTACCTAACAGTCTGAATAGTTTGCGCTGATTGATGTTCATAGAAAGTTGATGCCTGATCTCATATTAGCTATAATCATATAGTTAATACAGTTCTTCTCTATTTATATATTTAGTCATTTTCTCCTTCTGTCATGCTACCAATTGCAGTTTGTACCCTTTGAAGATCTCCACTGGGATGGAGACACCAAAGGCTTTTCTGGACTTTGGGTTGTACATGCCATTGTAGAGGAAAACAAATAAAATTGGCAAAGGTATTTCCATTCTGGAAAAGATGGGAGTGTGAGAAAGAGAGTCAAAATAAGCTCACTTTGATTCTGTATGGTATAAGAGGGGACAGAAGGAAACCCTGGCAGGCTTTCAAGATTCTGTTATACGTTAAAACAATAAAATGGAGTTCCAGTAGTCCATGCGGTGTCTATTTCTTGACCTGGCCTACCTTGAAGGGCTGAAAGGTATGAATGGCTAAAGTCTTGCCCTCCAAGGGCCATGCTAGTTGCTACGTTTGGCCACGCATATGTGGGCCCTTGTGCCTTTTTTTTAAATACAATTTTGTTAAAACTTCTAAGAAAGAAGATAAAAAAACTAATAGAAATGAATACAGAGTAAGAAAAAGAGAAAAGAGATCAAAGAAAGAACGAAAAGTGCAAAAACAAAGAAAGAAAATACAAAGAAGTAGCTTCTGATGTTCTTTATCACAAATTATAAATTTACCTCTTGTTCTGTGGTTACAGCCTAACTCGAGTTCCTATCCTGTCTAATCCTCAAAGCCATAAATCATAAGTGCATTTTTTCCTCTTTCATGCAAAAAGTCCATAAGGGGTTTCCCATCAGCAATCAATGTAGATATTGTCTTTTCTCTAATCAAAGAAGTCAATTCGGCCAATTCTGCAAGTTCCATCATCTTCACCAACCATTCCTCCATTGTGGGTGGTACCAAATCTTTCCATCTTTGTGTGTGGACACTTGTGCCTAAGAACACACTCATATGCCTGTTTGCACATAAAATCTCAGTCAGCTTAGACTAGGGTTTCTCA